TCTATCTATCTATCTATCTATCTATCTATCTATCTATCTATCTATCTATCTATCTATATCAGGTCAAAAAAAACATAATGAATGATGTTTCTAATAAGCAGAAGCTAACCAATGAAAAACTAATATTTGTAGGCAATTCTACTATCTAGCCACAATGAATTGTTTGCATTGACAGTCCGCCCCTTCCAGTATGGTGTTGCATTCGTACCACACTGTTGGTGCGTTCCATGTACATCGTATTCCAGAACTGGGAAGTGGTAGTGACGTAATTTCCCAACAGACCAAATGAAACCGCATTCCAGTTAGCCCACAGGCGATTTTTGCCGCTGAGTTACAACACTGTTACAATAAAAACAATGACAAAAATAGAGCTCTACTACRTCTGTCAGGCAAATAAACTTTGATTTTAATATGTAGAGTATGCACAAAAAAAAAACGTAAAAAAAACTGAGTTAACTCACTAAAGCTGCGATTAGCAGCCATCTTGAAATCGAAACTGGGGATAATCACAGTCGCTCTCACTAAATGAATGGGATTTACCACTGGTTCCAGTTTAAATTTACAAACAGGAGCAAGAAATTTCCACTTCCCAGTGCTACTGGAATGCATGYATACCTCATTGGTTGGTGTTCTGTGGCCACCATCTTGAATCTGAACCATTTCAAATGGTAACTGGTTGTACTATGAAAACTTTCTGCATGTTTTTCAATGATTTATGTATTTTGATAAACGACAGGTGCACATATTTATTTTTCATTTTTACCAGCGAGTGCATAGCCCCCAGGATTTACTGATCCCAAGTACTGTCCTAAAATCCCTCCACTGGAGGAAGCAAAGGCCACTCCTTCRCCAAGCAAACGGCCCAAAGCTGCTCCTGGAGACAAAACAAAGCAGGTGATAAGACTTAAAACTTCCAGGCTTGAAGTATTGGAACCCAACAAAGGTTTTACATTTTATGCATTTGAACATGAGCCTTTTCAGTTGCCTGATTTAAGTTCTGTGGCGTCACTCACCGCAGACAAACATGGCCATGAAGTATCCGGCTGGCAGAGGCAGAGTGCAGGCGAGGACCATCATCCACGACTTAAAAKCAACAACAGAGAAGCAGACTGTAAAAAACTAAATCCCTGCAGCTCTGCTGGCAYCTGCCTTTCTGCACGAGTCATGCTGAGTGCAGCTTTGTGCTGCTCTCAATTTTACACTCACAAATATTGAATTATTCCCATTTCGCATGTAATAATAAGGAAAATGGGTCAGAGTAAAAGGCACATCTGTAGGTCATTCAAGGTGTTTTGTTTTAAAACATGTAAGAAAATGCTTGTCTATATTGATTATTTTTCATTTTCCTCTTTGTTTCTAAGTTGTTGAGGCTTTTGAAAGACAATCATTTCCTGCACAAAAAGTTGCAAAAATTGTTCTTTGCTGCTGCAGCATTGTTGATTGAAAATTATCAGATCTAACAGACAAACATTTCATCCTGAAAGGTGAAACTGGCTTTGTCTGCTTACTCCATTGTGAAAATGTTAATGAGTGGAATAAAGAGGCAGAAGGTTGACAGACAGGGCAGATTCAATAATTGACCTTTGAATTATTTTTACCCGCATGAACAGAAAGACAGCCAACGGCAGGAAAAAGGGAGAGCCTGATGTGTTCCACTCCCACAATGGCTCCAGCTGCACAGATGCATTGTGGGATTGAGCGCTCCACTGCCTGCTGTCCAGAAGGGAAGTGAGGAGCTGCTTCGTGGTGTACTGATGAACAGATGAGTGACATCAGTTTAAAGCACACGTAAAACTGACATATAAATAAAAAAATTAAAATAATAAAAATGAATAAAAATAAAAAAGTGTGGTGTCATAATCAAACAAAATACATTATAAAATGTTTGACACATTGATCAAATCATTCACGTATAAAATAAACAGTTTTGGTCCAAGCACAGAACCTTGAGGAACTCCACATCTAACATTGCATAATTCAGATCTTACATTATTTACCTGTACAAACAGTCAACAAAAACACTAACACAATAAAGATTTTTACTGACACTAGTTGCTATCCCTTCTGTTAAGTACAAAATGGGTGATTGATTCATTGATGGATTATGAAAATTACTGATTTAGATTCGCAAAAATCACATATTGTTATCTTAATAAGCAGACATCGAAAAGACAGTGAGCTAACTCAACACAAATTAAGATGTTAAACATTTATATTAATCCTTTGTACAGGAACAAAAACAGCACATGATTAGGACTTCAGTTGTTTATAATTCCCACCTTAGAAGCCATGTATTGACCAGCAGAGTGAGGAAACGTCAACGAGGCCAGAAAGAAGACCACCAGACAAGAGTACACACCCCTCCTGCACAGAGGTTCACGCACACACAACAAAGTTTAAGTCTTTCCAAATAAAAATAATTTAAAATGTGTAGGAATTCTTAGAGCACATAAACGTAGCTCAAAGAGACTTTGACGACTCCTCACTGMATCACACAGTAAAGATTTAAAGAGCTCTCACTCTGTCTTCAGCATCTTTAACATGAACTTGTTCCTTTTGGAGAACTTCAGGATCCAGCGATGACAGAAGAGGTAGCAGCAGCTCAGAGCACCACACAGCAGCCTGTTTTCAGACAGTGACACAATCCAGAATGAGAAACTGGCACGTTCATCTTAATTCAAGTGACAATCGGAAGTCATTAAAACTGGGGAAGGAACAGGGAGGAGGGCAGGAAATTATATGAATGGGGAGAAATAAAAACTCTGAATACTAATTASAACTGAAGGAAAAGACAGAAGACTTATTACCTGTGACTGATATTAATATGAAAGTCAGTTGTTATTAGCGAGACAAAGTCTTGTTTAACTATGCAGATGCTTTCCAAGTATACTCACCCCAGAAACACAAACAGCAGAATCTCTAGTGGATAGAAAGGTAAAGCGGTGGGGAAATTAGTTTTGAACAACGCCTGAAGAGTCTCTGTGGACACAAAACAAATCTGAGTTATCAACTCCAGTTTCCAACAAGAGATCTAATATTCCAACACATTATTGCATCGACACTTTAATGAAATTTACAGCCAGCGTAGACTATTCTGAAGGTGAAAAGTCCAATTAAAAACACACCTAATTAGATCGCTAACCATTACATTTACCTTTGAGCAGAAGAGTTTCTTTAAAACAATGAGATTCTTCGAACATTTAGTAATTGCTAATATGTTTATACTTAACGACATTCAGATTAGGAAGAATTTTGCCCCTAAAATGTTGCGTCTGAGTCATTTTCAATTACTATAATTAGA